CCGTAGTGGGTCTTCTTGGTAGTACTCCAAGTGCTTCGATTGCGAAGTGATCCTTGATGGCTTGATGCATCTCTTCTTCTGGCGTGCTGACATGTAGACACGTGTTTAAGAAGTGCACCACTTTCGCGCCTCCAGTGTCTGACCCGTGGAGCACCCATCCAAGTCCTGTTCTTGAAGCGACTGGTTGTCCTGGTTTCCCTCTTCTTACTTCTTGAGTCACGATTAGCTCCCAGTTGTCTTGACCGATGAGCAGCTGTGGTGACTCCCCCTTATAATATAGAGAGTCAGCAATCTTCTTCAAGTGTTGACACTCTTCTATCCTTTTCTTTTCTAGGAACTGCGGTGCAAGCTTCAACTCGTCGATGGTCCGGACTCTTCTCAAGGTCTTCTTGGTCTTCTGATGAATCCCCTTCACCGTAAGGTCCAGCATCTGAGAGTCTTCCTTCCTTATCAGCCTGCCTCCAACAGTCTCGATGACCAGTTCCTTCTTTCTTCCTTGAGCGCCGATTTCTTCTGCTACCTTCTGGTCTAGCAGCGACACTGTTGACCCTTCATCCATGAGGGCCAATATCTTCTTTGATCCTTTTGACCCGAAGATTTCTATCGGAATTATCTTCAGGTATGCCCTTGCGTTGTTGACCGCATTCACCGATGCCATGATGCTCGCCACTTCTTGTGGTTTGTTCTTCTGTTCTTCCGAGGAACTTTTCTCTGTCTCGACGTGCAGCAGATGATGATGCCACCTCTTGCATTCCTTGCACGACGGCTTCTTGCAGCTCTCCTTCCGATGTGTCCCTTGTAAACACTTGAAGCAAACGCGGCTTTTCTTCACTATTGCCCATCGATCTTGCACAGACGCCTTCAGGAACTTCTGACACCCGACGAGGAAGTGTTCACCCTCACACATGGGGCAAGTCTTCTCTGATCTTGAAACCTTTTCTTTGAAGTCCTTTTCCTTAGTTGAATGCGTTGCTTGTCGATGAGTCCGTCTGAACCCGCTCTTCTCTTCTGTTGATGCATAGGCTCCACACTTGTCTGCTTCTCTGTTCAGGAACTTGGACACCAGTGTTAGGTCGGAGAACTCGCCTTCTGTTGTTTCAATGAAGTCGTACCATCGGAACTTGAGGATCGTAGGCATCTTCTCAATAATTTGTTTCACCATCTCAGGTGAATGCAGGTACTGTGGTTTCTTCAATCCTTTTATTGCCGCTACGCTGTTGCTGATCTGGCTCGCGAAGAGGCATATGTCCCTTGGGTTTTCAGAAATCTTCGGCAACGTTTTGACCTTGTCCAACTCTGCCAGCACCAGTGCATCTGGTCTTCCATATCTTCTTCTGAGGGCTTGAATCACTTCCATCGGAGAGGCTTCGGAGTACAGCAGACTCTTGATAGCTTCTCTTGCGTTGCCCTTCAGTGCTCTTCTTAGCCGAGCCATATTCTGGACGTTGTTGAACATTGGTGCTGTATCTTCATAGACAACCTTGAAGGCCATCCACTCGCTGCTGTTGCCGTCGAAGTAGGGTAACTCGTGAATGTAGGTTGGCTGTCCTGCTGGTCCTCGCGTGGTAAGAGCTTCCTTCAATGCTGCCGTCAGTGCTTGAATTTCAATCGTAGCTCCTCTCGTTGAGGAGTTCTCTTCAGGCTTCATCTTCTGTGGCTCTTCCAAGGGGTGTGGACCTCGCATCTCTGGTTGAACTTTGTTGCCATCCTCCAGCACAGACGTCTCGATCCAGTTCTGCACCTGTGCTGTTCTGTCTTCCAGGTCTTCATCCACGGAGTCCTCTTCTTCACACTGTGCCATCTCCAATCTGACACGGGCTAGCTTAGTTTCAGCCTGTGCTTGCTTCAACTCCAGGCGTGCCAACTCTTCCTTTGCTTCTAGCTCGCGTCTTCTGGCCGAGGAACTCGTGGTCTTCGTGGACCTGGCGCGACGACTGACCCCCATCGGTTTCAGGGTCTTGGAGGAGCCTTGAACATCCTTTCCAGGTACATCTTCTTGGCTCTTCCTGGTCATCCTCTGTGCAGCATCTTCTTTGTTGCCTTCCATAGACGCCGCCGTAGTTGCAGTCGTAACCGTAGTCTCCGTCACTGTGGTGCCCTCCGTGGTCGTGGTACCCGAAGAAGTGTTCGATGTAGTTGCAGTTCCCGATGACGCCGACGCTGACGTGACCCCTTCTGATCCCGACGTTCCATCTGTCGCGTCCCTATCTGAAGGACGGGACCCGGGACGTGAGGGGGCATCCTTCTGCGACCTGGTTACCGGCATCTTGAACGCAATCTTCTGTTTCTTCTGAACTTCTTCTAGCAGGGATCCGGCTCGAAGGACCAACTGTTTCGGACGACCAGAAACCAGGGTATGTCTAGTACCCGGAGGTCGACCTGGGACAATCTCCCAGACGTTCTTGGCGTACACGGCAGTATGTCCGTTCGCTGGTAATGTACGCCACCACGCACCCCTGAATGCGTAGCTTGGGTCCCGATCCACTAGGGTTTCTTCGTTGACAGGAGACTATACTTAGAGGCGATGAAATAAAAACACAATTTTTTCCTTTTTTCTCTCTTGGTTTCGGTTCTTCCTTTTCCTTTTAGTTGTTGCCTCTTCGGTGGCTGTCTTGCGACTGACTCGAATCGAGAAATGGCTCGCCTTTTATTTGGCCCGTTAATACCTTACAGAGAGCCGCGTACTTTGAGCTCATTTTTCGAGTAAAATTTCCCTAAACCGAAACCTTGAGAGTTCTTTTATTTTATGTTTTCAGTAAAACACCTTACACATATTTATTTATTTACATGCCTTACATACTATTATACAATATTAAAACATAATATTCAATATATAATAATTAATTAAAAAAGTCTTAAAACAAAAATATCTAAATTTCTAGGTTGCTACATTTTTACTATACATTTTCCCTTATAACTTTTGAACGGATAGTCCTATCGACCTAATTCTTGTTTTATTATAAGTTTTATAATAAAATCTATTATTTAAAACATAAACTATTATGCTATTGCAAGAAACAAAAAATCTCATTTTCAAGTTACGTAATTATATGCTAACATTTTACTTACGTACCTATTCCTTTCAAATTAATGTTAAATAGTCTTATATGATTCAAATAAGCAAAAAATACTCTAAACTAACCTTATTACACTAATTAGAACTTATTTTAACATAATAAATCTAATAAGAATGAGATTTCATATTTACAACAATTATTCATAATACGCTAAAATGACATTGTCCCTATATTAATACACACGTTACTCGAAGATAGGTTTTCCGTCGCCGACATACATATTATTCAAAGCATGAACTACCTTTGTCTTTATTTTATCTTAGTAAAGTATTTTGCAAGTTGTGTCCCGTGACAGATGGTCTAATATTGAATTTTAGCACGTTTTTCGTTTATTGAAGTAGGATGATTTATTAAAGCAACACAAAAAATGTACTGTTACAGATATACTATTTATTTATTGCGGGAACCAAAAATGAAAATAAATCCAAGAAAAAATCCGAAAAGACCAATATTTATTTATTATATTTAGAGTTATTTTTAATTTGGTTTTTTACCTTTTTTAACTTTGGGAAATGCATTTAGAATTTAGATATACCACCTGCAATACATACAGGTGGTTATGTGGGACTCACCGGCAAAGTCAGTACTACCCACTAAGATCAATGGCACCTTTCCCCTCTTATCGGCTCGTCGCAAGATCGCTAACGCATTTAACTACGACACCCCGACGGCAGGTCTGCCGAAGCAGACCACAACAACCATGGAGTTGCTCCAACAGTCTACTCTGCTATCAGAGAAGTACCAAGAGCCACCGCGTTTCTTGGCTTCGTGACCGGCTGAATTGCCGGACGCTAAAGAATCTTCTCACCACGACAAGGTAAACGCACATTGGGGCCGAAGTAACAAGTACCTGGGCGACCAGGGTTCATTCGGCGTTTTTACGGAAAAGATATAAAAATTACATTTTATCAGAAAAGTAACCTATATTGATAAACTTAAAAAGCAAAACCTTATCAAAATACAAAATTTGATCCAAATCATTAGCGCTGGTTCGGAGTTACACGAAAAAAAATTATATATATACAAGAACTGCTCCTTTAATATAATAAGACACACTTTTTGTAAGTGTAATTTTTTTTAGAAACCGTCATCTAAACTTAAATTGTAAACGGTTAAACTTAAATACGATTTGTTTTGATCGGGAATGACTAATGGCAGTAACAACTTTCGTTGATTGTGAGAGGAATACGAATTAAGTGACCGGAATAAATGGACAATAGGATATCGCTATAATACTTGCTAGATATGACTTTTAATCTTCAACTGCTTAAAAAAGCGAAAGTTGGTTTATTTATTGATTTTTATGTGTACCTACGTACATAGAGATTGATCTTTGAAATACAGCAATTAAGAGTTTCATCCATCCTATACCTAAATTGTAATCTGTATAGGGTTCCATCGTTTCATTGTCTATACCGTCTGTGTAGCGTATATGAAAATTTAGGTTAGTTTAACATTGGTATTCTGTTCCTAATATTCGAAACTATTATATTTTTAATTTTGGAATAACACAACAACTCAAAGCCTTCAATTGACAATGAAACTTGCACTTGACCATTTTTAATCACATATAAATATAATTTAGGGAAACTAAAACAGTTTGTAGAAAATTAGTATGTGTCTCTCGTGCGTATATCGAGGTCAGCTTCAAGGATTTCTTATTATGAACTAAGATCAGCAGAAGACGATATACTACATTTTTGGCTCTGTCTGGGAAATGTCTTCCATGTATACTTAATCATGAATATTCCTTTGACGCAGGACAATTTAGAAGAGTGGTTGAATTTAAAGCGTTTCGTAAAATACATCTAAACTAAGCATTCTGAAACGTTGGGGGGGAAGCATTCTGAACTATGCCAGGGCAATATTATCTGCTAACTTAATGAATGAAAATGAAATGTAATTATCAATTTTACTTTACAGAAATAATACTATCAGAAAGAGTGCCAGTGACTGAGGAACATGATTTAGACGAACATGTTGAAGTTGATGACAGAATTGTTGGTGGGGAAGAGACTACTATAGAAGAACATCCCTACCAAGTATCTTTTATCGTCAACAATTCATATTTTTGTGGTGGTTTTATATTAAGCGAGTACTATATTCTAACCGCAGCTCATTGTGCTCAAAAGTAAGTAAAAGTTAATTTAAAAATTATAAGCATAAAAAACCCAACTGAGTCAAAAACCGAATTAAAAAGACGGGAACAAACTAACGAAGGAACATAGTATTATGCAGTCGGAGACATAATATGTACATATATAAGTACATGCAAGTAGTAAGATTCGCAGCAAGTATATTAAAAAACGTATTCCTATAAAACACAGTCTTTAGTTTTGGCCTGTTAGATACTTGGAATTTTATTTAATAATTTTTATACTAAATACTTTTAAAGATAAAATATTTAATATTTTATTGAGATTTCCTCTTAAAAACCTTTATTTTGATACCTCACTCGATAGGCATGGAAGAAAAATATATATTTAAAGATACAAATCGGCGCCTGAGATCCGCAGTTTTGTTTTTTAATAATATCCATATAGCTTAACTTTTAACACTCGCGTTATCAAGAGAATTTAACGAAAATTAATTAATAAATAAATTAATCATCACAATCGGTTAAACGGTTTAGTAACTAAGAGGGAACATACAATCGGATATACATATGTATATACAAGTAAAACACGTAACCCTGTTTTAGGCTTCACCGCAGTCGATGTGTTGTACTTAAGACGACATATATAGCCATGCAAATTACTTTATATTACATTTATGCCGTAGGTCGAAGACGAAGTTATGAAATAATATCATCACAATAGGATAATACCGCAGCAATACCGAAACCTTCTTTCACGTCAAAACAGAACGACGGATTGGCGTGATTTTAGTTTTTGTTAGAGGGCTAGAGAGTGACATAGGCTACTTTTTACCGTGGGATAATATGCGATTATTTTATTATGGGAGTCTGTCTGTCGGTCTGCTTGTCTGGGAACGCATCACGAGAAAACCACTGGGCAGTTTTTTAAGAAATTTGGTATGATGATAGCTGGTTATCAGAGTCAACATATAAGATACTTTGTACTGCGGGAAAATATCTCATCTCTGAGAAATTTATACTAACCGTTAAAACGCTCCCAGGGACGAACCCAAGCCGAGCGAGTGTGAGTCGCTAGTAATCTATAAAACCAATATCAACCACTAAAGAATCATTCATTTGCTAACAATAATTTTATTCAATACGAAGAAATGAAAGATTTTGTACAAACGGATGTATAATACTTTAATAAAAAAACTTGAACAAAATTTTATATAAATGGATTTTTTTTATTTTTTTAAATTATTTTTGTAAATTAATTTAAATATAAATGAATTTAAATGCATAATGACCGTCATAGTGCACGGTCTGTGACCGGTGTAATAAATGTCTACCCAGATGACGTTATTACAATTTAAGGCCATCAAAGATTAATAAAAAATAACATCTCCAGATTTTTTTTAATAAGGAAGAAGTTTCATTTATGAGAACTTATAAAGATAACTGTATAATAATATTACAATAAACTTTTATTATATTTATTGCACTTAAAATATGATACAGAAAAAAAATAACAAAGTAAACATAGTTCACAAAGGTGGACTTATCTCTAAAAGAGATCTCTTCCAGTCAACCTCTGGTTGTGGAAGAAGATGTCAGCGGGCAATATAGTGCAAAAAATTTACTAAATATAGACTAGAAATAAAGGTAATAATAATCACTTATACATATATACATCTTCTTCTCCCTGCCCATTTCCCAAATCACTTGGGGTCGGCGCAGTACATCTTCAGTGTACTGCTGATAGGATTTGGCAAAAGTTTTACGACCGGCCGCCTGCCTGACGTCAACCCTCCTTGGGAAACTTATACATATATACATACATACATATATACATATATTACATATAAAAATATATAATACTATACATATATAATACCTAATGTAAAGACTACTTATACATACATACATATATTATACATTTACATAGGTAATATATAAAATATGAAAATAGAGAAAGGTACTGATTGATACTGTCTACATTTGTGATAATAAATAAATTTTTAATTTACATTTAAAGACATGAATAGAATAATATTATCCTCAACAAAAAAAAAAACAAAAATGACTTGAAATGAACTAAGTGTTCTTTTCAATTATTATAACGAAAAAAAGAAACCAAAATGTAATTAAATTACTAAGTAAGACTTTCCATTAGAAGTCGCTTATTTTTTATAGTCTAACTCATTCATTAAGCCCAATAGCATAGTTATGAAAGCTTTAAGTAGATTTGGAAAAAATATTTTGTATGCAAACTTTGCCACATTTTGTACATTTTAGAGGTGGAATTTCAAATTTCCTAACTGAATTAAACATTATTTTTATGGAGGGAGAGTCTAAAAATGCGGAATAGTAATAAAATATATTAGTTGGAATGTTTTATCTATATTTGATATTTTCAGTGTCGATCCCACAACAGTTGTACTACGAGCTGGTAGTTCCTATCGTAAAAATGGTACTATAATTCCTATAGCTGAAGTGAAGCCACACCCAGAGTATGACAACCCCCACTTTGATAAAGATGTTGCGTATATGAAAACTGTTGAACCTATAAAGTTCAGTGACACCATGAAACCGATAGGCCTGCCGCCAAAAAATAGACCCTTAAGTGGTGAAATTATGGTTAGTGGATGGGGAAGAACGAAGGTAAGATATTGATTAAATATTAGCTATTTCAGTAAAGTTTTATCAAAACCCTTCCAGTGGGTATAAGACGAGATAACATCTATCCGTCGATTGTCACAAATGACACAATTTGCACGGTAAAAAGATTCCTAAAATTATTTCTTCAACCAGTTACATTTGAACTGGCTACAGGAATTTTTTGACACTTTCGTTAACAGTATAAGTAAACCTAATAAATAAATAATAAATACAAATCTGCACTTAAATGTTTTATAAAGTGATAAAGAGATTATAGATGGGAATGTTAAACTCCGGAACAGTTCATCCGATATAGTAAAAAGGTCGCGACACGTGTATAAATAAAATGTGGGTGGTCGTCTTTTGACAAAAACGACTACCTGTAATGGTTTTTTGATATAAACTAGCTGTTGTTTGCCTACTTTTTCGTGTTGATATTCTGTTTAATTTATTTATTAGAATTAGCCAGCCAGCCAACAATATTTTAAGATATGAATATCTAATAGGTAAAAATGATTAGGTATGAACTCTTATTAAAGTTAAAATACTATACATCAATTTGTGATGTATTTTACGTATCGAAATATATTAGATTTGCTATGCATCGGGTGGCACCGACTTCGAAAATATCTCATTAGGTATCTATTCTAAATGAAAACGTCCGTTTAATTATTTTTTACATTTTAGTGCCTGGAAGTCGGTTAAAGTATTTTTTAAAGTTTTTATTCAAACTTTAAATTAAATAATAGAGAGATTCTTAACATTCTTCTAAATAACATGGGAATGCCGCGTCCGAGACAAGCACTGTCTGGGACTTACGACCCATTACTATGCGGCTCCCTACAAGTACATTCATCAATACGGGCGCTCTTCTCTTTACTTTAACAAATTTTATACAACCCTACATTAAACCGTTTTGGATAATTATTTTTAGAATAAACAAATTTATTCTTAGAATAATGCTCAAGATATAACAACATTAATAAGATCTTTCAAAGATATTAACAGATCTGAAATGTTTTAATATTTTATGATAAGATTTCGCTATAATTCCCATTTAAATCATTTGTCCTTTATTATTATTTTATCTATTTAGATCACTAATTAAGTATAGTTTTATTATCCAATGTACATATTTTGTTATTTAATTTTAGCAAGGAGCATCAACGATTCCCGACCGTCTGATGCACGTTGAGCTTCCTGTTGTAAATTTTCTGCAGTGTTTCTTCGTGTATCCAACAGTTCTGACGGAAAATATGTGGTGTGGAGGCAATTTCTTTTTTGGAGGAAAGGGTACTTGTCAGGTACTGTCATTTATTATACGTATTTTTGTTATTGTTCATCAGTTTCTAGCATTTTTGTATATTTTTTTAATTTTTATATTATATATTAATTGCTTAAATATAATATTATGATTTATGACTATTAATACTTTAGAATAATGTAATTTATATACATAACAAAAATGAACTGGAAATGCGGCGATGGGTAATTAAAATTTGTCTTAAGTATTGAATAACATGATAAAATTTTTATGAATTTTGTCTTTTAAGAAAGACCTACATACTTTAGTCTTAACCTTTTCTTCTGATTGTGTACTCTGTACATATATGTATCTTCATGTCCTTTGTCTTGAAAAATAAAACGTATAAAAATTTCGTTGAAAAAGTTTTAACAGTCATTTACGTAATATCCAAATTGGGCTTTTTAACCCAAATATAGCTTAAACAAAAAATTTACAAAAAAAAACAATTTTCACCTCATTACCACTTCCTTTATTTTTATATTATGATTTTGATCTAAAGGGAGATTCCGGAGGGGCAGCTGTACAGGACGGGATGGCGGTAGGTATAGTGTCGTTTGGTAGAGGCTGTGGACAAGCTCTCTCTCCGAGCGTATTTGCTGACATAGCGTCACCAACTATCCGTGACTTTATAAGCGAAAATACTGGATTGTAGTTACATATAAGTAGTATAAAAAAGTTGACTCAAGCATTGAATACACAATTACATTTTGTTATATAAATTATAAATAAAAATAAGAAAATTTTGTTTTTGTACAAGTTTGTTGTAGTTTTAGTATTTGTTGATGATGTTCCAAATTGTATATAATTTAAAATTAAATGTTTAGTTTTACCAAAGATTCAAAAAAAATGTAGTTGCTAATGAAGTATATAAGAAAATATTATGTAACTAATGTATGCATAAAGTTAATATATAATTACAAGAGTTTATACACGTGATTTGTTTTATTTTGACTAATGATCATTTAATATAAGTTGTAATGTAAGATAGGATCGAGTTATTTTTTTGTTAATAAAAAGATAATAGATCCAAAAATATTATTTACTAGTTTAGCTACTTTTGGGCTTATTCTGTGAATTTTGATTGTTGGTATCATGAGACATTAATGAGAAAACTGCATCATTATAGATTATTATATTAGAAATAATGTGCTCTATCCTTTAACGCTATGTTTAAATAAAAGAATACGTAATGTTGATGGTAATAGCGAGTGATCTCCTAAAGTGGTTCTCATTAGGCATGGAAATTGCACTAGGCTCTATACTTGAGCCATTTCTTTTCCTCCTCTATAATATGATTTATTTTACTTTGTACAAAATTAATATGAGACTGTCCACTGTGACGTTTCACTCTGAATTTGAAACTTAATCTTTGGTCTAGCTCTTACAAATAATTCATATTTAAATATAAAAAAAAACCACATATACTAAAAAAGCTAATACCTAATCTAAATTTATGATTATTTTAAATATCAGAAGAAAACTGTTTGTTATACAATTAATTGAGTTGTCAGTGACCATTTTTATGGACAATTCGTACATTTTTACAACAGAATCCCAGAGCACGTTCAAAAAGCTTCTAAGCTATATAAAAAATATATTAAAAAGCGTCTGTATACTATCTAACGTGTGTGTATGTAAGTATTAATTATTAAGTTTTATTCAAAGTTTCCTCTAACCTTACTAACCTCTCTTTGCATGTTTTATTTGGTATGACTTAATAATGGTCATAATTTATTATTATTATTGAAATGAATGCTATTTGTGTACTTTGTTCAATGATGTAAAACGTTATAAAAAGTCAGAATTATATAAATAAAAGACGCTTTTGTATCTACAGCAAAGTTGAATCTAACTATTTATATCTGCATTCCAGTATTTTGACGCAAGTCGGTTCTAAATATTTTAAAAATAAATCTTTTCGGGTTTTTTTCACCGATTTATTTAGATTTTTGGTTCCCGACGTTGCGAAGGCTTTAGAACAATCATGTTCACGGGAGAGACTCAAATAGCTCTTTTCTTGATCCGAAACGATAGTTTTATTTAAAATGTCAAATATTCGCGTAAATCTAAGAAAGTATTCGGTAATGTCCCGACGTATTTATTTATTTTTATTTATAAGATAAATAATAATAATAAATATGTTGAGACAATTACACACAGCACCATCTAGTTCCATGGCAAGCTACGAGGCTTGTATTGTGGATACCAGCTAGTTGATACACTACACATATATAACGTTAAATACACACATATTATAAACTAGCATTTCCCGCGGCTCCGCCCGCGTTTAGATGACCAAAAACCAAATTTTTAGGTTTTACATATTAGTATACTCTTAAATTGCAGTTTTTGTATTTTTTTCTCAGAAATGAGACTTTTCCGCGGTAAGAAGTATCCTATATGTTGACCCGGATAAGCAACTATCACCATACCAAGTTTCATCAAAATCCCTCCAATGATTTTTCTGTGATGCGGTAACAGACAGACAGACAAAAATTCTAAAAACTATAGATTCGGCCTCTGTACCGAAAATTATGTTTATTTCAATAAGATTTTCCAAAAAATATTTAATGTCCAGATTCGGCTTAGTTACAATTTTATTATATGTATAGATATAAATATCCATGACTGGAGTATAAACATTCGGCTCAAAACACAAGCGAATGCCCCCAGCGGGACTCGAACCCGAGCTGCCACAGCAAGTACGAGTAGTAACGTGTCGTCAAAAGATACCGTTGGTTATTAGTGGGTGTTAGTGCCACTACTATTTGGCGAGTCCCACATGGATTTAACTGAGGTGGTTGATTAGGTAAAAGTGACATAGTTTGTTTTGAAGAATCTTCAATGAACATGAAAATATCATAGCTTACTGACGGAGTCGCACGCGAATGTTAAATAAAAAATATTTTTATCTGGCTTATGTCAAGGCATACATACACACACACATATATATATATATATATATATATATATATATATATATATAGTATATACTCGTATATACGTACTTTGTTCTATTAAACCATTACATCATAAATAACAGTGTACGTGATAAAGTAGTGATGAAGAAGCATGTACGAGTTCTAGCCGACATTATATTTTATTATATACTCGTAGATGGAAAAAAATCTGCGTTCACAGGAGATAAATATTTAAAAAAAAGTAATTGTTAAGTTTTACGTCAGCTCTTCTGAGCAGAACTGTAAAGTGGAAGTGTAAAAATCAAAAGCACTTATAAAAGTCTATTTGAGTAAAGTCTATACTCGTATTGATTAGTTTAAAAATATTCATTTAGTAATATGTTGGGACATTAACACACAGCACCATCTAGTTCCATGGTAAGCTATGAGGCCTGTGTTATGGATACCAGATAGTTGATACAGTACATAAATAAAAAAAAAGCCTTTATTTCTTGCATATATGTATAAGAAAGTAAATTTACAAAGCTTTGTAGCTTTCATAAATATAAAAATTAACATTATTATTAAAATTTCACATTTGATTATATATATATATATATATATATATATATATATATATATATATATATATATATATATATATTTTTTTTTTGGGAAAAAGCATTAATACCAAGTTTCAAGTAATTCTCATCATAAATATTTTTTTGGATTGTATTATAACGTGTTTTCCCGTGATTCCAGTGTTTCGCGAATTAGATAATGTCCCGCAGTAAAAAGCAGCCTATGTCATTCTCCAGCCCTCCAACTACCTGCACATTAAATTTCACGCTAATCCGTCACTCCGTTTCAACGTGAAAGAAGTAAAAACAAACAAACATACAAACACACTTTCACATTTATAATATTAAGTATGGATTGCACTAATGAAAAATAATACAGGCATTGCATGACATAGGTAAAGGTGGACTTATCCTTACAAGATATTCCAGACAACCCATGAACGTGAGAGATAGGGTTAAGTAGTAGTATTAATTAATCAGAAAAACTTAAATTTTGTAAAAAAAATTTGAATATATTATTAGCATTTTCTTTTTAGAGTCACAAAAACCTTATAATGTTTTTATATCATAAATAAATCAAAAGATTAAAAAGATGGATAAACTTTGGTTTTACATCATAATTTTTTGTTTTAAGTCATACTAGTTTATGCCCATGGCTCGACTCGTATGGTAATCGGGGCGGGGATAAAAGGCGTAGCCTATGTCCGTTTCCAAGATGCAATCTAAGACCTTGCCAAATTTCATCGAAATTTGTTCAGTGGTTTTAGTGAACATGTAACAAACAAATAGACAAATAAAGTTTTATATGTTTATATCTATAATATTAGTAGGGATATGGAATGTATGTAAATCAAGCTGCAGATTTATCATTCAAAGAAAGACTTCTTTTATATAAGAAGAATATTTATTATACATAAATTATGAACAAAGTGGAATTAAAATGCACATAATAATAAATTCATAAATAAGAAGTAAGCGTAGTACGTAAAGTTTAAAACTAAGAAAATAATTCTACTTTACAATATAAACTGTAAACACGTCAATCTGATACTACGTGATGAGTGTTCAGAGGAAATATGTACACATGATATTATAATAATTTATAAAGAATAGTAACTAATAAAGAACGGATTATTATTTAGATTTAACTTAATAAATCATGATGTAGTTTCAGGAATTTCTTTTCATTCAGGAATTTGATTTCATTGAGAATTAAGTGTAAACTCAACTTTAAGGGACTACAAGCCATAATGGTGGCTTGGGTCTCTTCAAAAATACTATTCTAGGTAGATTTGTTTACAGGTTTTTCCCCCTCAACTCCTGTTACTAATTGTCTTATTACTTAAGTCTGGATCCGCTTCGACTTTTCCCATTCGCTTTACTATTTATTGTTAGTAAGAATTTCTTCTCTTGGCAATTGAATTTGAAATTGTCTGGTTTCAATTTCACTGCACTTCTAAAATTTTATCTTCAATCGATCAAATATAATAATTTAATTTTAATGCTATACCAACGATACTAGCTTTAGGACAAAGAAAAAGCAACACATTCGGTTGATTAACAATCACGTTCGCCAATCACACTGAGACTAAAACAGCCATATGTAAGAGAGCACCCGATGGGGCAGAAATCAGGCGAGCTATCTTCAGCACGGGACAAATAAATAAACAAAATAATGTTGGGGTATTAACACACAACATTAGTTCCATGGTAAGCTACGAGGCCTGTGTTATGAATACCAGATAGTTGATACTTTAAATACATATATATTATAAATATATAAATACCCATGAAAGTACGGACATTCGTGCTCATCACACAAATGATTGCCCCCAGCGGCACTCGAACCCGCGACTGTTGGTACAACAAGTAGGGTACACACATTACAAATTGAGCCAAACGTATCGATAAATAAATGATTTTTATGGTCTGGTTAATATAGGGTTAACTTTATTTGTAACTGTATTTCAACACGCATAGTCTCAATATCACCAGGCAGCGAGAGAAGTCAGGAGTTTTTTTTTATTTTCTTTCTCATCTTCAAGGTCACAAAGTAGGTTTTATTGTGTCGAGTGAAAAATATTTCAGACAATATTTTTCTAACTCACGTGTAGTTTTTTTTAGTTTAAATTATTAATCTGCTTATGTTATTTTGGAAAAATTATCCAATCTTAATTGGCTTTTCTTGGTTTCAGGCTTTAAATTATAAAGAGTTCTGTATTAATTTACTTAATTTTTAGGCAAATATTGAAGTCGTACTCTGTAAAGAAAAAAAAATATTTTACGATTTCATAAATGAGAAGAGCTGGCGAGAAACTCATTTAAACTCTTGTTACATAATTTATAATAATAATTTACAGTATTATAAACAATTTATTATGACTCGTCACTACAAGGTGGTACCGACATCTCTGCTAAAGCGCTGGAAACAAATCAAAATCCGCTCCCTTTTTACTTTTCTTTAAATAAATATCAGCCAAGATCACATAACTAAATGCTTTATACATAAATCATTACAAATAAACCAAATATATTATTTTTTTCATCAAAACGCTCATATAGAAAAATGCAACCTTACACGTTATTACATAGATGTTCTACCTAACGAAGTATTAACAATCTTCAAATCATTTAATCATATGTTTTGTGTAACAGGATGTTTCTATAAGCGTGACTGCATCCTAGCCTTGAGTAGGTACTCCCAAAGATGACACAACGATTTTCTAATTACGCATTTCTATATCTATGATACTCTACGAATAAATCATCTTAGTGCAGAGTACGTAAATTATTTGTTTTACCTATTCGCACATGTAAGGTGTAAATATATTTGTCGGGCTTTACTGAAGACAAAAGAATGCAAGAATCTTTTGATACTGGTAAAATAAGTTATAAGGAAAGTGTGCTATACTTAGTAAATAATATATATACAAAGAGCGAGGTCCGCCAAGTAGCATTTTGCCAGTGTGATGGATGATCCTCCACGTATTGAAGAAAGACCCACCCCCAACAGTGGGACGTTAAAAAGGGCATTGCAAAGAAACTTAGTAAAAAGAAATACAGACATGTATCGGGGTTCTGTAGAATAAACAAAACACGTGGACATACACACAAGTTATGATAAATTATTATATAGCTGATATACCACAAAAAAATTGACGCGGGACTCGTGACTTGTGGATATATTGTGTGCAGATAGGTATTCTATTACAACCAGTGAGCAGGAAAGTAGATTTACAAATACATATAATATTCATTTTACTACATGAATAAAAGATGTTGAGTGCTATTTTATTATTTTTTATTCAATATTTCGCTTCATTTTACGTTCACAATGGATAGGTAACCTTATTTATTAAATATGAATGGATGGATATTATATTAGTAACCTTTTATAAATAATAAATATAAATATGTTGGAACATTAACACACAGCACCATCTAGTTCCATGGTAAGCTACGAGAATTGTGCTATGGATACCAGATAGTTGACACACTACATATTGATGTTCTCCTGACCGATTCCGGCCACGGCGGCCAATCTCATTGAGATTAGCCAACTGCGCAGGAGATATTATAGTGCACAAGTGTACGCGCAGATGCACTCTCTATTCCTGTCACTCTCATACTCTGGTGGGACGACTACTCGACACGACCAGTGAGAGTTAAGGCGCAGGACCGACGGCTTTACGTGCTCTCCGAGGCACGGGGGTGATACACCGCCAACTTTCCAACTCCGGGCTGTTACTGAGGCTTACTTTACAGAAAGACTCAATAACTAAACTTGGCCCGACCCGGGACTTGAACCCAGGACCTCCGAGTGTGCAGCCGTAAAGCTAGCCACTACACCACCGAGGCAGTTACACTACATATTACTATATACTTATACTTTAAATACATACATATTATAAATATAAACACCCATGACTCGAATACAATCATTCGTGCTCATCACACAATGAATGCCTCCAGCAAGACTCGAATCCGCGACCGCTGGCACAGCAAGTAGGGTCACTACACACTGAGCCAAACTTGTCGTCTAATTTTATATATGATTTTGTTTTGGTCTTGTCATTTCAGTACAAAATATTGTGTCAGTAACTTCAAAATTATTAACAACCTTTTATTTAAATGCTCTAAAAAATGAAGATAGTTTATTTGATATAATATCTTGTCTCGAAATTTATCTATTTTATAAAAAAATATTTATTTTTTCTTAGAATTACTTATGTCAAGATCAAGTTTTATACTGTATTCTAGTTTATCTACACAGGTAAATCTCGCGATATGTTTAAAGTTTAAATTCATCATTGCACTACAACCGGTCAGATTTTGTCTTAATTCATTTATTACTGAAAGTAATTTCTGTCAGAATTCATGTCTTAAATCATTAAAGCTCATTTATTTCTGAAAGCAAATTCTATTCCGTAGAAGAGACCTATTCATGCAAACATAATTTAGTTTAATTATTATCGTTAATAGATTAAATCAGGTAAATAAAACTTTTGCCTATAGCTTTTTAATTTATACATATGAAAGATTGTGTATGTTCTTAAATAAAACTAGATATTTAAAATGGTATATACAAGAAAAGTAATTAATATACTATTAAGTGATTGCTTGCATAAATATTGTGTTAAACAGTTTGGTAAAATTCAAAAACAAAGAGGCATTCATTTGGTTGTATGTTTCATTTGTGTTTGTGTCTTTGACAATTATTATTCAATTTTCATATTTTTTTAGTAGTTCCATATAAATTAAAAAAAGTTAATCGCCATAGTCGAGCAATTAATTTTAGATTATATTGAACTCAGTGTAGCTTAGTTAGTTTTTTCTTGTTTTTTTTTTACGTTTTTAAATATTTAGCACAATTTAAAAAAAATGCCAATATTCCAGTTGGTTTTATAAAATTAAACATGCAACATGATGAAATATAGAGTCATAAATGAAAACTTTTTATCACGAACATGTTAGCACACGAACGGTTATGGCAATATTTTAAAGATCGCTTAGCACAATGTCATTTTCGAGGTTCGATTAATTCTAATATTTAAGTAGATTTTTTATTATCGAATTCATGTATGTAAAACCGAAATATTATATTTCATCTAGATTGATTAAACATAAAATCTTAATGTAGTATGATAATTTGTAAGGGGGCCCTCTTAGAAAGGAATTTGGAAAATTTTCATTTTAAGCAGAAAACGGCCCACCCTTTTTAGACCGTAACAGTGATTTGAGCATTGTGTGAAACTCCTTTATACTTTACCAATGTCAGCTAACGCGAACGAGGTCTCTGGTATAGTTAGTTTATCTATATTAGGAAAATTGTATATATACAATAGTTACGTTTTAGTATATTCAGTAAAGCCTAGTTCGCATTAAGCTAGTATTTTAGTCTAGTAGCGAGTAATTTAGTAGCTAAATTACTCGCTACTCACCAAAAATCATTCGTACTTTGGTCGAGTACAGTTTACAAGTGAGTGGTGTTTTGCAAGATGAACAGCCTACAACGCAATAAAGTAAATAAACTGATTAAGCTGATCGTAACGGCTATTTTAGAAGAGGTGGATGAGGAAATAAATATGCTTTTGAAATAAAGTAATGAAAAGTAACCTGATGTTTTTAATTTTCATTTTAATTTCTTTTTCGCCAAATCCGGGTATATTCATTATTTTGTCCAAATCTAAGTTTGCGGAATGTTTCATATGCTTGTTTGTATAATGCAAGGACCTAATATTCCACAAGCATTCGTGTTCAACATACTTCGAAACAAATTTAAAAGTCATTTCTTCGCTCCAGCGAAACGACATTATGGCGGCAACTAATGAACTCGACTAATTCGACAGGTTCGTACTTGTTTAGCCGGTGAACCAGTGAGCTCCGACGCGTGGTGGGGGCTGCTACTCGCCCAAAAAAATAGAATAAAATGGATTGACTCGACTAAATTACTTACTAAACTAATCGACTAAATTTTTAGTGTTCAGACACGTTTAGTTACTAAATTACTCGCTACTAGACTAAAATACTAGCTTAATGCGAACTAGGCTTAAGTGATGTTCAATACATGCAATAAATAAAAACCAAATCGTAATTTGATTCAATATAATTTATGATATACTCAAGTACGAATTGTTCTTTTTCCTCTAACCAGTGAAAAGATCCTTTACAGTGAAAAGGTCATAGTTAAACAAAATTTTCATTTTACATAATATGTAGTATATATTTACTATATTATATAATCTTGTGGTATAAGAAATATTAAAAATTGTATTATAACGTGGAAAATAAAACACATAAAAAGCGTAATTAATATATATTTTACAAACTAAGCGTAAACTTAAATTATTTACAATAATATCACAATGTGTCAATCATAGATTTTATTGAGAAAGTTACTCCAGAGACCAAGGCGACTAAGGAGAAGAACACAATAAGGCAGTTTTTCCAGAGTATCCAGTAAAAAGGGCCTAGGTCTTTACCCCATCGCCAAACTGTTTCGACGATAGCAGGCAGAGACAGACCCATAATGGACAAGCATACAGCGCCAACTAACTCCATGAAGAGTTCTAGCCTCGGTATAGCGCAGGCAAGACCGACTGAAAAAATCAATGTTTTAGATTTTTCTCGTTGTGTAAATATCAAAACTACATTCTAGCTACGTTGTTAAAAGTTATCTGATAATTAAAAGAAATGTTGATATTCAAGAAAATAAGTATATGGATGACATTACCAACCAAATATATAACGCCGTTAAAACATAGATTTTATTGGACATAATTTGCATGGAACTTATATCAAATGTCTATCTCTAAGAAAAACCACAGATAGACAAGTTATTGCGATTAACAGTAAGAAATAATAAAGAAGTGAGTTTTTTGTAAGATAATTGAAACAGCTATAAAATTTAATTTTTCTTTTTTTTCAGATCTAAATTTTCATATAAACATACCTGTAAAAAGTGTTCCAAAAAGCCTTAAGGCGGCTACACTCCATCTATGGCTCCTAGCGGGAACTCTATCTTGTATCAGTCTCCATACTACGTCCACTGGTACGTAGAAAATCAAGGCATATGAGAGTACCATTACACAGGCTACTAAAATTTTGGCAGATTGTGCTAATCTGAAAACGATTTTAATTATTTTTTATTTGTTACTTGAGATTCACCCTCGCTTCGCTCGGGTTCGTCCCTAGGTACGTTTTAACGGTTAGTATAAAATCTATAGATTATATATTATATACATTTTTTTTCCAACTTAAACTTGAAGCATTATTGTAGATGGTAGGTCGACACTATTAAAAGTAATCCGAAGTAGTGATTCCCATACAAAATAAACACTTCTGAACTTTTTGGTTTTCCAACTGTTCTTATGGGTTTCTTCTATTTTTTAATAACACCTATGATACACCACCAACAAAACAAAAAAAAAAATGTTAAAATTAGTCCAGTCATTTTTGAGTTTTAACGAGACTAAGGGCAATTGATTTTATATAGACTAGCTTTTGTAAAGATATTTTTAGATCTAAAATGATTCAGTAATAGCTTAGTATTTTCAAATCCCCTTTCATGCCTTTTCATCCTTTAGTGGATGTATTTTAAAAATGTTTCCTCGACTGGACAGATGTAATCAGATGCAGGAATATATTTTGAATAAAGTATTTTTGTATATTATACAACAAAAATTATATTAAAAAGAAACCTTATATATATATATATATATATATATATATATATATATATATATATATATATATATATATAAATGTAATTATAACTTTAATAACTTTCTATAATGTGATATTAAAACTATATTTATTGCTAATATTACTTTAATGAATAAAATTACCAAAGACGTTAACTTCTACACCCACAGATTATATAATGATTAAGTACTTCGTCTTAAATAAAACTATCTTTTCGGATTTCGTTTCGAATGCTTTACAGCAATCATGGTCACAGGAGAGTCTCTCCCGTATCATACCCGAAAAGATAGTTTTTATTTAAAATGTCAAATATTCGCGTAAATCTAAGAAAGTATAATAATTACTGAGGTAGAATTCAATTTTGATGAGAACAAGTTTCTTCATGATTATAATCTTCTATATATAAACAGGCAAAAACAAAAGAATTCAGTGCTTTTTTCACCTCTGCTTGTCAAACGATTTTCTTTTTTTGTTACGTAGCTATTGACGAATAAAAAAGATGATTTTAGTCGAATTTCGTCCATTGGACGAAAACTAGTTACAATAATTAGGTATTACAATAATTAGATATAGTTATTGATAATAAAATACTCACATCTCGTCTTTAGGTAAGTTTAATGTTAAACTCCCTCTAACTTCCTCACCGAAGCTTAGATAGCCACAAAATCCGACGAAGGCATATAAAGCGACGACTGCCGTCATAGCAATGTTCAGCACTCCAGGACATCCCAAGAATTCTTGGGGCTTGGTCATTTCATTTTCAATTGGCATGATCACTCCAATACCCTCCATAGCGAAGAGGCACGTACTGTAAATAAAACTTTGATTCTAACTTACATTTGTATCAAAACCTTTATTTAAGTTAAACTTCTTTAGAATCGTTGTGATTTGAAACTCGATGAAACGGAAATTCGACACTAAAAAGAGACATATAAATATATAGGATTACGCCGGCGAGAGAATGAGATAGAATACATTGCCATGTTGCCATGGTAACAGTTGTTATTGTCTGACAAATAAATAATATTATATTTTTGCTGTATATGATATTCTATAAATATATGATTGTAATATGCCTAATATGCTTTATTTAATTACTGATTTGTTTTAATTTAATTGCGATATTTGCCAAAGAAGTTTTATTTCAAGGTTACACGCACCCTTTTTTGATACAAAATCTCTTTTTCTTTTTCTTTTGGATATGAGCAAAACTAATATAAATATTTATTTTTTCTTAGAATTACTTATGTCAAGATCAAGTTTTATACTGTATTCTAGTTTATCTACACAGGTAAATCTCGCGATATGTTTAAAGTTTAAATTCATCATTGCACTACAACCGGTCAGATTTTGTCTTAATTCATTTATTACTGAAAGTAATTTCTGTCAGAATTCATGTCTTAAATCATTAAAGCTCATTTATTTCTGAAAGCAAATTCTATTCCGTAGAAGAGACCTATTCATGCAAACATAATTTAGTTTAATTATTATCGTTAATAGATTAAATCAGGTAAATAAAACTTTTGCCTATAGCTTTTTAATTTATACATATGAAAGATTGTGTATGTTCTTAAATAAAACTAGATATTTAAAATGGTATATACAAGAAAAGTAATTAATATACTATTAAGTGATTGCTTGCATAAATATTGTGTTAAACAGTTTGGTAAAATTCAAAAACAAAGAGGCATTCATTTGGTTGTATGTTTCATTTGTGTTTGTGTCTTTGACAATTATTATTCAATTTTCATATTTTTTTAGTAGTTCCATATAAATTAAAAAAAGTTAATCGCCATAGTCGAGCAATTAATTTTAGATTATATTGAACTCAGTGTAGCTTAGTTAGTTTTTTCTTGTTTTTTTTTTACGTTTTTAAATATTTAGCACAATTTAAAAAAAATGCCAATATTCCAGTTGGTTTTATAAAATTAAACATGCAACATGATGAAATATAGAGTCATAAATGAAAACTTTTTATCACGAACATGTTAGCACACGAACGGTTATGGCAATATTTTAAAGATCGCTTAGCACAATGTCATTTTCGAGGTTCGATTAATTCTAATATTTAAGTAGATTTTTTATTATCGAATTCATGTATGTAAAACCGAAATATTATATTTCATCTAGATTGATTAAACATAAAATCTTAATGTAGTATGATAATTTGTAAGGGGGCCCTCTTAGAAAGGAATTTGGAAAATTTTCATTTTAAGCAGAAAACGGCCCACCCTTTTTAGACCGTAACAGTGATTTGAGCATTGTGTGAAACTCCTTTATACTTTACCAATGTCAGCTAACGCGAACGAGGTCTCTGGTATAGTTAGTTTATCTATATTAGGAAAATTGTATATATACAATAGTTACGTTTTAGTATATTCAGTAAAGCCTAGTTCGCATTAAGCTAGTATTTTAGTCTAGTAGCGAGTAATTTAGTAGCTAAATTACTCGCTACTCACCAAAAATCATTCGTACTTTGGTCGAGTACAGTTTACAAGTGAGTGGTGTTTTGCAAGATGAACAGCCTACAACGCAATAAAGTAAATAAACTGATTAAGCTGATCGTAACGGCTATTTTAGAAGAGGTGGATGAGGAAATAAATATGCTTTTGAAATAAAGTAATGAAAAGTAACCTGATGTTTTTAATTTTCATTTTAATTTCTTTTTCGCCAAATCCGGGTATATTCATTATTTTGTCCAAATCTAAGTTTGCGGAATGTTTCATATGCTTGTTTGTATAATGCAAGGACCTAATATTCCACAAGCATTCGTGTTCAACATACTTCGAAACAAATTTAAAAGTCATTTCTTCGCATAACATGGAAAATAAAACACATAAAAAGCGTAATTAATATATATTTTACAAACTAAGCGTAAACTTAAATTATTTACAATAATATCACAATGTGTCAATCATAGATTTTATTGAGAAAGTTACTCCAGAGACCAAGGCGACTAAGGAGAAGAACACAATAAGGCAGTTTTTCCAGAGTATCCAGTAAAAAGGGCCTAGGTCTTTACCCCATCGCCAAACTGTTTCGACGATAGCAGGCAGAGACAGACCCATAATGGACAAGCATACAGCGCCAACTAACTCCATGAAGAGTTCTAGCCTCGGTATAGCGCAGGCAAGACCGACTGAAAAAATCAAAGTTTTAGATTTTTCTCGTTGTGTAAATATCAAAACTACATTCTAGATACGTTACTAAAAGCTATCTGATAATTAAAAGAAATGTTAATATGCAAGAAAATAAGTATATGGATGTCAACATTACCAACCAAATATATAACGCCGTTAAAACATAGATTATATTGGACATAATTTGCATGGAACTTATATCAAATGTCTATCTTTAAGAAAAACCACAGATAGACAAGTTATTGTAATTAACAGTAAGAAATAGTAAAGAAGTGAGTTTTTTGTAAGATAATTGAAACAGCTATAAAATTTAATTTTTCATTTTTTTGGATTTAAATTTTCATATAAACATACCTGTAAAAAGTGTTCCAAAAAGCCTTAAGGCGGCTACACTCCATCTATGGCTTCTAGCGGGAACTCTATCTTGTATCCGTCTCCATACTACGTCCACTGGTACGTAGAAAATCAAGGCGTATGAGAGCACCATTACACAGGCTACTAAAATTTTGGCAGATTGTGCTAATCTGAAAACGATTTTAATTATTTTTTATTTGTTCTAAGGACGAACCCTCGCTTCGCTCGGGTTCGTCCTTAGGTACGTTTTAACGGTTAGTATAAAATATATAGACTATATATTATATACATTTTTTTCCAACTTAAACTTGAAGCATTATTGTAGATGGCAGGTCGACACTATTAAAAGTAATCCGAAGTAGTGATTCCCATACAAAATAAACACTTCTGAACTTTTTGGTTTTCCAACTGTTCTTATGGGTTTCTTCTATTTTTTTAATAAAACCACCTATGATACACCACCAACAAAACAAAAAAAGAATTATTGAGATTGGTCCAGTCATTTTTGAGTTTTAGCGAGACTAACTAAGGCAATTGATTTTTATATAGACTAGCTTTGTAAAGATATTTTTAGATCTAAAATTATTCAGTAATAGCTTAGTATTTTCAAATCCCCTTTCATGGCTTTTCATCCTTTAGTGGATGTATTTTTAAAATGTTTCCTCGACTGGACAGATGTAATCAGATGCAGGAATATATTTTGAATAAAGTATTTTTGTATATTATACAACAAAAATTATATTAAAAAGAAACCTTATATATATATATATATATATATATATATATATATATATAAATGTAATTATAACTTTAATAACTTTCTATAATGTGATATTAAAACTATATTTATTGCTAATATTACTTTAATGAATAAAATTACCAAAGACGTTAACTTCTACACCCACAGATTATATAATGATTAAGTACTTCGTCTTAAATAAAACTATCTTTTCGGATTTCGTTTTGAATGCTTTACAGCAATCATGGTCACAGAGTCTGTCCCGTATCATACCCGAAAAGATAGTTTTTATTTAAAATGTCAAATATTTGCGTAAATCTAAGAAAGTATAATGATTACTGCGGTAGAATTTAATTTTAATGAGAACAAGTTTCTTCATGATTATAATCTTCTATATATAAACAGGCAAAAACAAAAGAATTCAGTGCTTTTTTCACCTCTGCTTGTCAAACGATTTTATTTTTTGTTACGTAGCTATTGACGAATAAAAAAGATGATTTTAGTCGAATTTCGTCCATTGGACGAAAACTAGTTACAATAATTAGATATTAGACATAGTTATTGGTAATAAAATACTCACATCTCGTCTTTAGGTAAGTTTAATGTTAAACTCCCTCTAACTTCCTCACCGAAGCTTAGATAGCCACAAAATCCGACGAAGGCATATAAAGCGACGACTGCAGTCATAGCAATGTTCAGCACTCCAGGACATCCCAAGAATTCTTGGGGCTTGGTCATTTCATTTTCAATTGGCATGATCACTCCAATGCCCTCCATAGCGAAGAGGCACGTACTGTAAATAAAACTTTGATTGTAACTTACATTTGTATCAAAACCTTTATTTAAGTGAAACTTCTTTAGAATCGTTGTGATTTGAAACTCGATGAAACGGAAATTCGACACTAAAAAGAGACACATAGATATATAGCATTACACCGGCGAGAGAATGAGATAGAATACATTGCCATGTTGCCATCGTAACACTTGTTATTGTCTGACAAATATATATTATTATATTTTTGCCGTATATGATATTCTATAAATATATGATTGTAATATGCCTAATATGCTTTGTTTAATTACTGATTTGTTTTAATTTAATTGCGATATTTGCCAAAGAAGTTTTATTTCAAGGTTACACGCACCCTTTTTTGATACAAAATCTCTTTTTCTCTTTCTTTTGGATATGAGCAAAACTAATATACATTTGTACATATATAAAACTTTTAAATACATACAGATTATAAATGTGATACCCATGACTGAAGTACAAACATTCGTGCTCATCACACAAATGAATGCCCCCAGCGGGACTTGAACCCGCGACCGCTGCCACAGCAAGTAGGATCACTACAAACTGAGACAAACGTGTCGTCAAAGAACATTAAGTCCCTAAATGCTAATAACATTATAAAACTTGAAACTATTGTAGTTTGAAGCTCTGGGAAGAGTAATTCTCTACAACTATGAAATGTTTACTTTTGAAAGGCTTTACATTATACAATGTGTTCAGTTCTGTTTCATGAGTCTCTCATATAAACCACAACTTCACCGACTTCCACATGATTAACATAATGACCATATAATATATACATAAAAATCTATATTAATATTATAAATGTCAAAGTTTGTGAGTATGGATGTTTGTTACTTTTTAACCCAGAACGGCTGAACGGATCTGCATGAAATTTGGCGTATAGATAGTTATAGTTGATTTGGAACAAAAATAACACAAAGGCTACTTTTTATCCCGTAAAATGTACGGTTGCCGTGAGATAGGTTTGTTTTTATTTTCCTAGAGGCAAGACCGAGCAAAGCGAGGGTAAGCCGCTAGTAATAAATAAATATGTTGGGACATTAACACTGCACCATCTAGTTCTATGATTAGTTACGAGGCTTATGTATACCAGATAGTTGATATACTACACATTTTTAACTTTAAATACATACATATTAAAAATATAAACGCCCATGACTGGAGTACAAACATTCGTGCTCATCACGCAAGTGAATGCCCCGAACGGGACTTGAACCCGCGACCGCTCATGAATCACAACATTATTACAGGAAGTAGGGTCTCAAAGTGAGCTAAACGTATCGTCATATAAGAAATCTATAAGAATTTCTTAATTGCTTGATCCTTTCCAGAAGTAACAGAATTAAGAAGAAGCAGCCTTCTGCTTCTACCATGTTTCTCACATAGTAAATACTCCGTTTTACATCAAAAAATATTGTCAGTCCAATCTTAAAAGATACATTTACTACTAATTTAGAAATAAGAGTAATGTAGAATTATTATATAGTTACTAATAAACTAAATAAAGGTCACATTTGGAAATCGAATTCATTACCACAACCCTTATTACAATGAGCAAACTTTAATTTGGTTCGAATATATATATATCTCTCTCTCTATAATCACTTCAATAATATTGCTATAATAGATTAATAAAACGAGCTGTACGAATAAAAAATTATGGCAATTTTAATAGTAAATCTTACGTAAGTTACTTTTTTATATAATAAATTATAAGTTTAAAAGTAATTTTAACCAGCAATAATTTGAATTCTAAAATCTCTCATTACGTCATGCTGTCGCTATAAAGTTGGACCACAAGCTGCTTATTAGAACACTTTAATATTTCATGGCTTATATAATGAAACTATTATTCTATACTAGCATTGCCCGTGGCTCCGCCCGCGTTTAGATGACCAAAAATCAAATCCTTAGGTTTTACATATTATTATACTCTTACATTACAGTTTTTGTATACTTTCTCAAAAATGAGATATTTTCCCGCGGTAAAAAGTTAAGTTAAGTTAGAATTAAAAAAAAATATTTTTTGCATACTTTTATGCAAAGCAAGAGAGTACCCAGTATCATTTATGTGCGTTCTCTTTTTTTGATCTACGTGCTTATATAAGACATAGCGTGGTCACCGGCTTTAACTAATGTTTTCTCATTACATCTTATGCCCTAAAGGATTCAAATCAACAAATATTAGAGAAATTATATCTATCTATATAATATTATGAAGAGGAAAGATTTTTTTGTTTGTTTGTTTATTTGTACCAAATAGTCTCTGAAACTACTGAACCGATTTTGATGAAAATTAGAAAGAAGATAGTTTGAGATCTTGGAAAGGACATAGTATCCTATGTTCTTTTGCAAGATCTCAAACTATCTTCTTTTTTTATCTTCTGATTTATCCCGGAAATCATCGGATCGAATCGGATAAAAATTTGTATGGGGGAGCTACCCAGAGACGAACCCGAGCGAAGCGAGGCTAAGTCGCTAGTGTTGATCATATATTTAATCTACTGTGCCATATATTTAATCTAAGTAATTTAAGACCAATACTATAAAATCCTATAAATAATTGCTTTTAACAGTCTATTCGGATAAAGTAGATACATTAAAATTCAATATTTAGTACATTACCTTATAAAATTAGGTAAGCCAGAGATAGATGTCGACATATTTCTTGTAGAAACTGGCGGTGGGTTCTTCAGACAGTAATATACAGATATACATATAGATGTCAGCCATACAAAGTTTGCTAAAGCTGAGAATGGCACTAAGTACTTAAGTTTTGTAATTTGAGTCAATGGTATGAGTACTACTAGAGTTAGCGCGCAAAATATTGTTACAGACCATTCTGGTCCACCGTATTCATCTGAAACCTGAAATAAAAATTAAATGTATATTATAAATGATGTATGTATTCTAGAAGATGTAAGGCTCGATAGTATATTTATTTTTCTTCGTTAAATCTTAAAACAACATGCGGTAAAGTGTAATAAGTCGGGTTAGGTTAGTTGTTTTCTCTCCCCGATGTAAGTTCACCTCGTCATGGTTGGGTAAGGGGAAGGGGGGGGGGGGGTCATATGACTCCTGCAAACCAGCCGGGCGTGAAGCCAAGGCTTCGACAAGACACAGGAGGTGGCCACTTTGGTGGGCGGTGTACCATGCGGGTTGCTCCTGGTACTTCTCTGATAGCAGAGGGGACCGTGAAAGCAACCCTTTGGCCGTGTGGTCTGCTTCGGCAGACCTGCCGTCGTGGTTAAGTATGTAAGCGATCTGGCGATGACCTAATAAAACGGTGGAGGTTCTGTTGGGTTTTAGTGGGTAACACTGACTTCTTTAGCCGGTGAGCCCCACATAACCACTTGTAATGCAGGTGCAATGCCTAAATGCATTTCCCAACTTAAAAAAAGGTTGGTTATTTTAAGCGCCTGTTAAAAATTAATTCCAAATTCATAATAAGAATTATAGTATCCATATTTAAAGAGGGGCTCTTATAATAACCCTACAACATAATTGCTCATAAATGTTATTGTGTAAAGGATGGAATTTGTATATGTTGGAAGAACATTTTTCCACACATCAAGTTTCTAAACAAATGTAAACCTTTATAATTTATTCATAATTACATTAGGTACATATACGTAAATCGGACATTATATTTTCGAACAGAATCGTAGGTCCTTAACTTAGGTCACGCTACTAGAAAGTCTGGACGTCGAACTAATACTAAGTACTTTAGTAAATCACGAGTACTTTGTAAGTCAAAATAAATGTATGAAAGTAAAAGTCTATAAACATTATAAAAAGTTCTTTAGGTTGTGATTTATATAATAACTTACTTGTTTGAAAGATTCAGCTATAACGACCACGTAAACACAGCAGGCGCCTAAATGCGTGACAGCTAGAGCCCAGTCCGCTAGTTCTCTGAAATTGATTGGTTAAAGTAAATGAAAAGGTATAAACTTTATTAATATCTTTGTAATGTATCTAAAAATAATCTATTAACAGTGAACAGGCTAATAAAAACCTAAATATTTATTTCTCCTCACTAGCCATAGGAATTTCACATAATTTATATGGAGGTTATAAACACTACATATGGATAATTTATGGTATATTTTTAGTTCGATCACTGAATTGTAACATAATATTACATATGTATGTACATTATCGTACATGTTATAATCATACAAAAATAAATCCCATCTCAATAGATTTAAAAAAAACATATTTTTTTAAATCTGATACAAGCGGAAGTTGAAACCATAAGGGCAGTAAAAATCAGAATGATTTTTTTTAATAAATATCATTAAAAAAAGTTACACCCGAATTGGGTCTTCCAGAGTCAACTACTAATAATTGTGAAATTAATGACCGTGAAGTAACTATCCCGCATGGCTTGTCAGTTAACAAATAAACTACACATGTTGATATTTGCAGTAATTCCAAATTCGATGCGAGCTAATAAGCGATGAACAAAATATACGTAGGCGCTTTCAATGATTGCTTTGTGATTTATTTTGAGCAATATATATATATATAATGTTTAGAGCAGTACCAAGTATAACGTTTTTGTCATTTTTGATTAGTTCACACACAGATAGACACAGACACAGGCCACAGATCATACACAGATATACTATACTAGCTTAGGCTTACAAATTCGGCTACTCTCTGTGCTAGCAGCTATTTGGACATTTTTTTCCTTCTTCAGAGTTTAGGCTTCTTTCTTAATTGAAAGACTACCGTATCGTTTTAATTTCCGACCTATTCCTAGCTTCCACACAGATATATCAACATCGGCAGAAGCATAAACATATTTTTATGTTCGATGCATGTAGGATTCGAACCCATGATATACAGTTATATTATTACAAGACAGTCATAATAGATATTACCTTGCATAAGGGGCATATTTTCTAATAGGTTTAGGACCGTTTTGGAAGACCAAGTCACATGTATCCGCATATCCTAAACATGGCTTTTTGATTTCTGTACAAAGTTGTTGTGATGTTTTAACCTAAAATGAAAGAAAAAAAACATGAATTCATTATAATAGACTTCGGTATTTCCGTTTGGAAATAAAATAAAGTAGAGAGGTGTCGTATTCCAAGCTTTTGTGATTTTCTAATTTTCCAGACTTCATTGATTTAATTCATTATATTTCGCAATTTTTGAATTTCATTAATATATGGAGTATAAGTGATGTACATACATACATACGCATATATATAAATATATATATATATATATATATATATATTTGTTATATCCATATTAATGTATCTCACATTATTCGGACGTAATATGTACTTTGTACATACGTTGATGAAACTCTGTCAGAAACTTGCCGGGTCGCGGTCAACAAATTACCAAAGTTTAATTCTAACCGTGTGACAGTATAAATAGATGTAAAATAAGATAAACAATACATTTTTTTTATATAGTATCTACTACACAGACGGCTTACAGCCGCTTCGCTATGCTGCGCCCTTAGAAGAAACTTTTATTCGATTTCTTTAACCTAATTCATAAAATACCCGTAAATTATTTTGCAAAATATTTATAAACTATAACCTTCTTAGATAATTGTCATTTTTATTAATGAAAACCGTATAAAAATCCATATAGTGGTTTTTGAGATTGCCCCGACCAACATACAGATCAATTTTATTTGCTATATTGTTGTAGAGACGAGATAAAAAAAGATTGTTACTAATATATATGTAACGATAGTGGTGAAATAAAATCTATTAATAATTAGTATTTAACCTGTGTTTTTTGTAAATTCACTCTAACAAGATATCCAAAATATGTGCACTATAAAAATAAGGCTTTTAATATTCAAATACCAAAGTGGCAAACGTTTCGTTTAAAAGGGACTAGAACTAAAGGAAATTTGCATGTTCGCTCAATTTTTGCTTTCAATAGAAATGGGAACGCGTTTCGAAGCCGAAACAATGGCACTTTAATCGCCGTAACAAAAGAGATTGTGGTCTGAGCTGTGATAGTGAAAGTTATTATATAACTTGATTGTCACCGTAGAATTGCCTTAAGGTTTACATAAGGCATCTTTAAGTTAGAGCCCAAGCATGAAGGATTTAGGTTAATTGAATTATACTAAGCTCCGTAGGGATTAAATGATTAAATTGCATAGATATCGCATAAATTGTTATACTGATTATATTGCTTATAGAAAGATGATAGTAGCAAAATATCGATGTGATCTTCATTTGGATTCGGCCCTTTTTTTTAACGTCACACAGCTGGGCATGGGTATCCCTTGAAACGTGGATCATAGTCCACCACGCTGGCCAAGTGCGGGTTGGCGGACTTCACATCTTCTTCACGTCTTCACGACTTCATGTCTTTCAAAAACTTGCTAGGTTTTCTCAGTCATGCAGGTTTCTTTACGATATTTTTCTTCACCGAAAAGCAAGTGGTAATCAGGCTTGAAATGATTCGGACATGAAAATATCAGAGTTCGATACGCGGGATTTAAACCTGTTTCATTCGGTTTGCCAAGCGAGCGCGTTACTACTGGGCTACCACTGCCTTCATTTATATCATATTATATCAATAATATTGCTGGTTATTAGTATTATTTTATATAAATAATTGCATAAAATTTTATAAGAAAGAAATCAATGCCTAAAAAATCATTAATTCTTATATCGTCATCAACCCATTCCATTACTTAAGATTCTTTTAAAAGAGGCCCAATATTTCTTAGGCTCCAACGCTTATATGAAGCAAGATTTGTTTATGAGATCCAAGCTGACAAACAGTCAGACAGACAAAATATTTTTGCATATATGAGTGTCCAGCTTAAGTGATGAAGAAATTAAAACTTACTAAAACATGAATGACGTGTGCACAAACGAAGCCAATCAACATTGTGCCTATAACGCCAACGGCAAGTCCAGCATTTTTGAAGGCAAGAGGCATAGCGAGTACTCCGGAACCGAGAGAGGCTTTTAACAAATGTGCCAATGCTCCGAAGCTCCTGAAAATAAACAAATATCCACATTAAGAAAATTTCTTTTAACCGAAATTTGGTCACAGCTAATTTAACTGATTGCGATCTCTGAGATATTATAGCGGGCAGTAGTGCGCAAAAATATAACTGCATTCTTTTTGTTCGTTGGGATGGCAATTTCACATGACTCAGAAGCGAGTAAGATCAGGTAATTCTTGTTCTCGCAAGGCAAGAGGTGGTAGCGTTCCAACTTTAGGCGAATAACGGAAATTTATAAGCCTGACTCGAGACTTGAATCCAAGACCTAAGGATCTGATTTCTGCAAACGAATATGTTGGAATGTTATGAATGTATTTTACAATAATTGCCTATAATTTAAGATTTTTTTAGGAAAATGACCCACGGGCACTAACACTAAGCCCTAACATTGACTTTATTTACATATATACAATATAGGTATTATCAATGCGGCATGAGACAACATAAAGTTACTAAACTGAAAGGTATAACACCGAAACTGATTCAAAAGTTAATTATTAATTTTCATTGTAATCAAAAGACCCACACAAACTAATATATTCACTAAATTGTGTTATTTTGAGTCATATGTAAATAGAAATATACACTATAACTATATGGTATTACGAGTATATGGTTACTAATCAAAGACATAGTTACTTATGTACATACATATATTGTGATGTATGGGTGTGTGTTAATATTTAGGGTCCCGAAGCGAAAAGGTTAAAATGGAACCCTTATATTTTCGTCATGTCCGTCTGTCAGTGAACCATCTATCTCCCTACCTATCGTCCTCTTAGCGACCAAATAATCTTAGGAACTACATGGCTGAAATTAGGTAAATCTCTAGACTTTAGATGTAATATTTTTTTTCCGTTCTAGGAGATTGGCCACAAAATGAACTTTGTTTCTCAAAGTAATACTATGAAATACAAAACTTATTTATGCCGTTAATAAAATTAATATTATATACGGAAAGTTGTTATTTTAATTTTTATCTAATAGATTAGATTAAAACATAAGATAATTGAATGTTTCATGCTACAGGGCCATCGGTGTGTGAGTCAGACTCGCACTTGCCCGTAACTAGCAAGTATTAACTTCTATCATAAATCATATAATAATCACTGTTTGATTACATCAGTCATAATCAATAACAATATATTTTCTCATAACTCAGTCGTAGTAAGAATGCATTAGAACTATTGTATTTAGCCTCGTATCGTAGTTAGAATATAATGAACTTACGATGTGTTTGATCCCTGTGGTCTATGGTCTGCAGGCACGTAAGGTTCGAGGTCTTCTCTCGAACCATTGTAAGCCAGTTCGATTCTGAAAAAAAAATACAATTACTGAAAAAATATCTTGTAAAAATTTGAATCCAATTTTATTATCGTATCATAATAGTAATAATAAAGTCTAAACCGAACCTTATTATAATTGAATTTATAAATCTTCTAGGAGTTTGATTCATAATTTATTTAAACTCTAGAAAGAAGGTTCTCCGAATACACAAGCAAGTGCTAACAATACTTTGATACTTTGATGCGAGTGACAATTAAAAATCACTACAGAAAGGTTACCATACGCTATGTACATTGGTGTGACATATAGTGAATTTGTTAACCCCAATCAATGCAGATCATTTAATGTGATGAAATGGATATCTCTTATTGCATCATCTACTTTGTTATTATGTATTTGCGTATTCTTTTCAACTATTTAACATTTATTATAGTCTTAGACGTTAATTGTATGTAGGTCCGATGTATCCGTAAAGAGGAGAGTTTTTGATACAAGTTTGCTATTCCGATAGTATAGACGTCTAATATACTGTTTATATTTATAATATATATGTATTTAAAGTTATATATGGTAGTGTATCAACTATCTGGTAACCATAACATAAGCCTCGTAGCTTATCATGGAAAAGATGGTTCTGTTTGTTAATGTCCCAACATATTTATTTATTAATATTAGTAAAGATATGCGATGGAAAGCACGCAAGGAGTAAACATTCAGTGCCATTTGACATTTCTAGAAAACTCACTCTACACTAGCGTCTCTCAGCGGTAGCCCTCATTATGTTCTTATTACGAAAATATATTATAATTTTAGTATACTAAATTAAAGTTGATATTGGAAGTAAACTCGTGTTTCCAAAGTCACGTGGGACGTAGTTAGGCCTATGCGAAGTAAAAGCGGGGATGTCTAATATAATAAGCTTAGCTTTGAAAAATGTTTAATTTAAACTTTGTTACGCTTTGGTGGCCGGAAAATGTACATAGGCGAGAAAACGTGCCTCGCGTTTAGAAATCTAATTAATTATAGCGCCCTTAAAAAAAAGTATTTTTAATTATTTTAGATATCTATAAATAAAATAATATTATTTAATGGATTTTAGGTATCTTCATTTCAGAAGAATTTTTTTGTATGTATGTTATGCATATTTCGCAGCTAGCGGCACAATATAAAAATGCGTACAATAGGCGATCGCTTTTGATTTTAAAATATGCTGCCAAATCCAAGGGTTGTCAAAACTTAAAATATTCACAGCGAATGATTTCGAAGTTAGCCCTGTAGTGCCATCTCGTTGCGCGTTACACACGTCAACCCTAAAACCGTTTCCCGAATCACTACATGTTATAAAACAAAGTCCTCCGCCGCATCTGTCTGTCTGTCAGTCTGCGATAAACTCAAAAACTACTGCACCGACTTTCATTCTGTTTTCACCAATGGATAGAGTGGTTCTCGAGGAAGGTTTTAGTATATAATTTAAGTTACGTTTTTGTATACATTGGCTAAAATATAACGATATTTGTTGAAAGTGTCGGAAAAAATAAGCATGTCTAGAAGCTTTCTAAACGAAAACGCTGCCTAAGCCTTTTGAGATATAACAAAATAATTTATGGTGGAATTGTGTATCTTATATGGGTCTACAGAAAAGTCCGCGATGGCATAAGTCTATCTTTTAAGGATAACATACTATCCATTTTAATTTAAAACGTACGAGGGTGAGTCCCTAGTGTTATATAAGATAATATATAATAGTTGGGTCCCCCGTCTTTTCCCATGTAAAGCCACAAATAAAGCTAGTGAATGATAATGACACTATCCCCTTTTGTATTTCTACGTTGTGGCTATAAGTATTACTTTGATCATTTCTCGTCTATTGTGATTGCCGCATATTAGACTAAAGTAACCTACTAAGCCCTGCCGCTGTAATAAACTGCAGGATTTGCTTAGGGATACACTCCAAATTTCATCAAAGTCTGTCCAGTAGTTTACTCGTGATGCTTTCCCATACAGTCAAACAGACAAAAAAATCTAAAAACTATAGATAGATTCGGCCTCTGTATCGATAATAAAGATAATTTCAAGAAAATTTTCCAAAATAATATTTAATGTATAGTTTCGATTCAGTTAGAATTTTATTATATGTATAGATTTATCCCAGAATTGAGCGTACAAAATCAAAATGAAGAGATTATTTAAGTTAGAAATGAAAAAGGTTTCATTACAAAGGCTAACGGAAGTTGTAGCGTCTTTACCTTAACATTGGAGATGGTAGTTGCTATTGTTCTATTTATTTTATTCCATTTTAAATCCCTAAGGAAGTTCTTTTAAAACTTCAGTTATATATAGTCTATATATAAATACGATCTTTACTTTTATATGTGTTTTTGTAACATTTTTTAGTTATGTAAGTTTTTAAAATTACTACTTTCTAAGAATGTTTTGTATTGTTTTTCCGTTCTTCTTTTTAAGAGTATATTATGCATGTTGAGTTAGCCTGTAAGTGCGGTATATATTTTCTATCACAGATACTTAAGAGTGTGCTCTAGAATAAGAAATATTATTGTATACAACGTTGGCTTCCTATTTAAATAAAAAAAATAGGCAACGATAAACTAGTTCGGTACCTTTTTATCCTCTGTTTGTCAACAATTTTTTTTTTGTTTATTGGTTATTGACGAATTTTAGTATTATCGAGCGATACTATGTCGAGCTATTTTCGAGTTTTTGCGAGATTAACGCACGGCAATTGATATTTACATACATACATACATGAATAGATAATATCTCCTGAGTACATGCCTAGTCCCATTGACATTGGGCCTTCAGGGTTATTATTTATTATTATTTGCTTACTTCTTCCTTATACAGGCTTTGTACCAAAAGATTAAATATAAAAGAAAAAAGATAAATATAAATGAAAGTTATTTTACGAATAACTAATTATTTTAACATTACTAAGTTAGAATATATGTACATAAGTTTATAAATAACTAGCATTGCCCGCGGCTTCGCCCGCGTTTAGATGACCAAAAACCAAATTCGTATGTTTTACATATTAGTTTTCTCTTACAATACAGTTTTTGTATTTTTTCTCAGAAATGAGATATTTTCCCGAGGTAAAAAGTATCCTATATGTTGACCCGAATAACCAGCTATCATCATACCGAATTTCATCAAAATCTGTCCAGTGGTTTTCCCGTGATGCGGTAACAGACAGACAGACAGACAAACATTCTAAAAACTATAGATTCGGACTCTGTATCGATAATAATGTCTATTTCAATTAGATTTTTCAAAAAATATTTAATGTACAGATTCGACTTAGTTACAATTTTATTATATGTATAGATTTACTAGCGAGTCTTAGTCGAGCCCTCCAACTATATCCACATAGAAATCACGCCAATCCGTCACTCCGTTGCGACGTGAAAGAAGGACAAACAAACACACTTTCATATTTATAATATTACTAGCAGAACCCGCGGCTTCGCTCGCGCTAAAACTACAAAAAAATCTCTAAAAAGGAAGTTTCATACAAACGTTCATCCCTATTTTACCCCCTTATAGAATGAATTTCGAAAAAAACAACAGAACAACAAAAAACACGTATTTAATTAATTTTGTTGAAGAACATCAATACCGAGTTACAAGTAATTCTGTTCATAAATATTTATTTGGATTGTATTATTAGAATTAGATAAATTCCCGCGATAAAAATAGCCTATGTCACTCTCCATAACTAACATGACACAAACTCACATAACTATCTCCACACAAAAAATCACCCCAATCCGTCTCTCCGTTTCGACGTAAAAGAAAGACAAACAAACAAACACACTTTCACATTTATAATATTAGTAAGTATGAACTATAGATGTAGATATAAAATTTGGATGATTATTGCTGATTGTTGTGGTGAGACTATTCATTGTAATAGGGTAAATTTTTATTATAATGTGACTCACTAACCAATATCGTGATCTCATGTAAATAATGTTTGACATTAGTATAGGTAAAGAGATTTTGTAATAAAAAAAATTACGTGGAATATTTTGTTTAAAACAAAAGGTATTAAAACAAAATAAATTTTTCCTCATTCGTTAAGACCTTATACAAACATTTGTGTGCCTCATATTATTTTACTTTAATTAAAATGCTTGGAGTGTTATATTGTGGCGGAGTTTTAGAAACTTATTGTATAAGGGTTTATTTATAGATTTACTTAGAAAAACATATCGCATAACATTATTTTTAATTTTTCTAAGAAAACTTTTTATAGTTATATATATATGTATATATATATATATATATATATATATATATATATTATATATATATATATTATTATATATATAATAATTAATAAAGCTCATGCCCTTAAAGCTCAAAGCTATGAAAAAGATATTTCCAGGAGAAATGAAATAAAAATTAAGAAACTTATACTAACCTACTTAGATATAACGGGATTAATAACAAAAATTCTAAAACCTATAGATTCGGCCTCTGTATCGATAATAATGACTATTTCAATAAGATTTTTCAAAAAATATTTAATGTACAGATTCGACTCAATTACAATTTTATTATATGTATACATTGAAGTAAAGTTATATTTTTTTTATAAGATGGATCTGTGTTTCTTCTTGTTACTCACGTTTACAAATAAAAAAAACCTTATGTCTTTGTCTTTATTACAGTTAATCGCTTGACATTTTTTTGATAAGGCCACATAACAGATTTGTTATACTCAAGGATTTATATACGCTGATAATATAAAGTTAGTGTATGCCTTTATCTAATCACCTATAATACTAATATAATAAAGAGGTAAAGTTTGTGAATTGTGAGTTTTTGGCGTTGTAGGAGGTAATCTCTTGATCTACTGAACCGATTTAAATTAAATTTAGTAAGAAGATAGTTTGAGACCCTGGAAAGGACATAGGATACTTTTTTCCTGGAAATCATCCCTTAAGAGGGTGAAAATGGGAATGAAAGTCACACTGATATTTAAATATTGTAAAAGTTTGTAAGTC